CCGGTCCTTGCTGTCTTTCGTCTTGCCGCCCCCGACGGGACCCGGCGCCGCGGTGGCGGTGCCCCCCGCCGCCCCCTCGCCTCCCCAGCACCTTTCCCTGCTTGTGAGACACTCTGGAGACTCAGAGAGGGAGAGGAAGGGATCGGGGTGGGTTTTTTTCCCCTCTCTTCGGTGCTTTGTAGGAGAATCCTTCCTTTACTGTAAACCATTACACTAAGTGTCAGTATTAAGGCTCAGTAGCCTGTTAATAAGCTAGCTCTGTCGTACCAACTGTTTTGGTATGCAAGCAGGGCCTGGGTGGTATCGGCCATACCTAGCTCTTACTGCTGTCAGGAGACCCAGTGCTCAGAGCACGCCAGGAGCCTAATCTAACCATTGATCTCGATTGCATTACTTGCACCTACAAGGGGGGGAAAGCCTGGGGGAAGCTGTCGGGGAGCGCAAGTCCGTGCCGGCGTACGCAGCCTGGAGGTACAACACTGACATCTCGCTGGAGAAGGATGCAAGAAATGATTCTCCTGCCCCGTGACTGTGCCGTATCCTGAATGTAGGCGACACCGAAGCCCGGCGAGCTTTTGGTGGCTGCCCAGGTGGTTATGGATAGGGAGCTGCAGATACTCATGTGCACCGTCGAGTCCGCCCCATCGGCATGTCTTTGCCTCCCGTCTCGCTGGTGGTCGGAGTCGGTGTTTCGTGGGCTGAGCTGTAAGATCACTTTCTTGCCTCTGTTAGATCAAGCCCAGCACTCTCTTTTTTTGCTGTTACTCCCTTCCTCTCATTGAGTCCCGTGTATCCCAGGGTCTGTGCGCATGTGAAACTCCCTTTTCCTAGTCAAAGGAAAGTAGAGTAGAAAGTAGAGCCAATATTGACTGAAAATGCACAGTGCTCAATGCATATAATGCTCCTTTTTTATCAGCTTCTTGAATTCAACTCTTCTTGTCAGCAGGGCAGCTCCTATTTTAATTCTTTAATCTTTTTCCTGAAATAAAAATCTCAAAACCAGTATGTGCTTCAGACCTTCTCAGTCCTAATAGCTTTTGTGTTTAAAGCATACAATTTAGCACCGTGAGGCCGATAAACGGATACAAACTGAAAGTGAGGTGAGGGAGCTGGTAGCTCTAGATGCAGCACATGGCCAGCCGAGCAGAGGCTGTCTTCCTAGAAGCCTACGCTGCTTTGCAGCATCTCAGGGCTGCCCCAGCACGGTGGCTTCACCCCAGGCTGGCGAGAGCATTTCAAGATGCCACCTGTAAAGGCCCCGAGGTCCTGCCTCACCGATAGTCCTGGCCGGGAGCAGGGCTGAAGCAGCGCTCCGGCATGTTGGCTTCCCAGCCCCGTTTAGCTGCCGAGCGACCCGCAGCACGTTGGGCTGGGCTGTTAAAATTACGCCTTAGTCTTCACGTGGAGCAAAGCTTCCTCTTGTCTTTCGGGTGCTTAACAAACGCGTGGTTGAAGCAGGCAGCTCTGTGTGCTTTCACGGCTGATCTTGGGTCCGTTAGGCGGGCGGTACAAGCGCAGCCCTCAGAGCAAACTCTCGCTGCAGCTCTGGAGCAGTGAGCGCTGCGGGGCTGGTGACGGCCATCTCCAGTCCTGCCAGGTTGGACCACGGCAGGTGCCAGAGAGTTCGCCCCTCATCCTCCCGCTCCGAGCAGCTAGTCTCTGTTTCAGCCACCAGACCCTCGGCAAGAGATGGTGTCATCTAACCACGGCGTGAATCAGGCTCTCGTCCAGCTTGTGTGGCCTTGCCATGGCCAAGCGCTCGGCTTGACACCTCCCGGGGCACTCGTGGCAGCGCATGGCAGCCGTCCGGTCCTGCCCGTGGGAGCCCCACTTCTCCCCAGCCAAGATGCCAGCGCCGTGCAGCGGGCAGAGCACGTACGGGGATGCTCTCCTGCTGCGATGCTCTGTAATCCGTGCCTGGGTGTACATGGAAGTCCTGGAGACAGGAGCAGGGTAGGAAAGATGCTCAGCCACTCGGATACAAAGGCTTTTCCCTCGTCAGCAGGCACGTGCCCTCTAAGATGTTTTGATGTGCAGCCACTCGCCCTAATCCGAGCTCACCGTAGCGCTTTCCGTAATCTGAGCGTTGGAGGACCCTGGAGCCTTCCCAGCCATGACCCACCTGGACCGCCTCTCCGATCAGCCATCAGCCGCTCCCAGGAGTCTCGGTGCTGCTCCTTGCGTTGTGTTTGCTTTCACCCATCAGTCAGCAGCCGCCTTAGTCCTCCTCCCATTCCACCGTGGAGGAACGTGGCCTGTGCGCCCAAAGCTGCGCCATCAGCTTCTCGCCGGCATGATGGGAATCCAAACTGGGGAGCCCCAAAGCGGAAATGGGCACCTTAGCGCGGTCCTGGGGCTGTGGAAATACCTGCTCTCACCACGCTGAGGTAGCTAATGGCCGTCTAAAGCATAGACTGCTGTTGATAAACCCATGAATGTCGGTAATGCTTAGCAGTGGCTTTTTATAGCCATGGCACGGCGTCCTGCTTCCCATCCAGCTGAGGAGATCCAGATGCAGCTCTCCCTTGTTGTAGCCCTTCCCAAATTCAGCCTTCTCCAGGTCAGGTGTGCATGTGTTGTGCTTAGAGGTCCACTTCTGGAAGAAGAGGGTCCTTTGTCACTAGTCGTGTGCGGGGTTTCTCTCTCTCTCTCTTTCTCTCTCCCTCTCCCTGCTGGCATCTTGCACTTGACTGAAGTGAGAGGTCTGGGTCTCTGGTATAACCTCACAGTTGGGTGAAGGGTGCGTGTTCAGGTCCCCATGCTCACAGCAGCTGGGAACATGACACTTCAGTGGCATCTACGAGCAGTTAAAGGCAGTCCTTAAATTAAAGCAGGGACACCAACACCTGCACCAGCGGAGCAGGTTGCAGGACCAGCAGAGATGTCAGTGCTGTGGCCCAGGTTCATCTAAATTCGGGCTAGGTGGGAAGGTGGCTCCATCCACCGTGGTTTGTATGTTGTATACGCCTTTCTGACCGTGTCAGGAGACGGTCACCTGGCCCAGGCGCCTGGCTTGGTCCCATCCAAAGTCACCTGTCCAGCTCTCAGCGGGGACAACCTTTACACTTCATCCCTGGCTGCTCCGGGTCCGTGGTGAGCTCTGCTCTCTGGCAGCTGTGATCTCCTGGCAGAGGCCTTGGGACGCAGGATTAGGATGGCACGTAGGCCTTGTCATTGTCATTGCTCTTCCCTTACAAGACGTCGCTGGCTCCAGGAGGATGCCCTCCTCCTCTTCTTCTCTCAAAACATATGGTGGGACTTTGTCCTTTTCAGCCAACCGAGCAGAACGTGCGCTGGTCTCCTTCTCGCCATGTGGACCCTGACCTTTCTTACGTCCCCTAGCAAATCCTGCTTTTTCTTTGCGTACCTCATTTGCTCAGGAGCACTCATTTTAAGCGTGAGGACTAGAAGTTACGTACCTTGCTATTTGCATTGGCACATCAGTGGCGTGGAGGACACAAGATGGACCCTTTGTGATACAGGATCATGCCGCTGAGCATCTTGAGGCTCCCCACGGAGGGATGTTTTCTGCTGTACGCTTGCTCATGCCAAGAAATCCTCTCTTGCGGCTTAGTGTCCTGCCTGGGACTAGGTATTGGGCCTAGCGAGTAAGAGCACTCGATTTCTTTGCCAGTGCTCCTGCTTCGAGCCTTATTTCTTAATGTAGAGAACAGCTGGGTAAGTGGAGGGCACACACGGAGCGATCAGGTGGGGATCATCCCCAGCTTTTGACTCAGCATGTGTAAATACATTAATATGATTTTTTTTTTTTTTAAAAAAAGGGGTGAGGATGGGCAGAAAGGCACCGCGGCGTGTTGGCAAAGGTGGCGGCACTTGGGTGGCGGATAGTGCAGGAAGGCAGAAGAAGGTGCGATAAAAATGCAGTGGCACAGGGAGCCGTGCAAAGCACGGGGGTACTGAAGACGGGGAGGGTCCGGAGAGGCGCTTTCTGATGTGCTCTGGCCCTAAATTGCCCTGTGAAGAGAGGCTGGGGGGGGGGGGGGTATTCTTGTTTATAAACATATAAAAATATCCTGATGTTTAGTGGGGGGAAAAGTCACCCAGAACACTTGTACAGCTCTTGCTCCTTTCCTGTAGACGTGCCCATACGCTAAGCAAGGGATCATATATAACTTCTGGGCCACTTGCGTCAATTCTTCACCCGAGGCAATGCACACAGTGTTTTCCATCTCTCTGGTGAGGCACTGCCAGGGGATCCAGCACC